TTTCCCCCCCCCCCCCCCCCCCCCCCACACACACACACATACACACACACCCTGCTGTTCCCTCTCCTGGTTGGGAAGGTCTCTGCAGGGAGCACCTGCCCCATGGTCATTTTTGTGTGTTATGCTTGTCTCTCTGACTGACTGCCTTCCTCTGTGTTAACCTGTTCCAGCCAGACTCCTCCTGTGACCTCCCGAGAGGCCCATTATGGGAAGGAAAATCCTTTTGACTTTGGACAAGTATTGCTATTCAATGCACCTTATACATTTCAAAGAAAACTCCATGGTTGCTCCAGATCTCCCCCTGCCCTGCAGGAGGGGTCTGTCCAACATGGAGCGGGTGGGATGGAGAAGGTTAGGCCACTTCCTGGGTCTCCCGCTTGTTATGACTGTCTGTGGGTGGCTTGCCTTCTGGGTTTTCTCAATCGGTGTTTCAATAAATGCTGCTGCGATGCAAGGACATGTGGTCTTATGAACATAGTATGCGCCCCCCAACAGTCAGACTCTCAGCTCCCTTTTATCCCATCTCCATCTGGCCAGTCCTTTCCACCACCACCCATGCAGTGTTTCCCCATTTCCCCAGTGATTCTGCCTCTTCCTGTCCACTTCCATGGCCTGATTTCAACCACAGCTCCAGCTCCCCTCCATGACCTCTTTCTCCTTGACCATACCCCACAGAAACCAAGCAGCCAGAATCCCATCCCAAACTCATCACTCTCACCCTTCCTGCCTGGTTCCAACCAGTTCCCAGCCTATGTGTGTGCTCCTTATGCCAAATGCAGGCTCCCTCCATCTTCTCCTTTCCACCTGCTCCCCAGCCCTACACAACCTCTCCACCCAGTGCTGATCTTACTAGATGCGGGCTCCACCTAAAGGAGACAAGTCTACCCTCTGGGGCACCAAGGACCAGCCCACATGGGCACATAGGCCATCCCACACCCCTCCTCCTGTTTGCCTTTGCTCATTGCTCTCTCTATTCTCCCTCCCCACCCTCACTCCCACACGCACACATCCCCCTCCCTCTGCATCACAGTGTCCAAACTCTTGAGGATCTCTAGTTCTGTCTTGGTGGCTCAGACAAGGGATGTCATTGGGTCTGTCTGGAGCCTATTGTCAAACTGGAAGTTCCTTGAGGGCAAGGTATGTCTCCTTCTGGCTCTGACCCCAAACTAGTCCTAGGATATGGGTCCAGGGTTTCAGGCCTGGGATGGTTGGATGAACACAGGCAGCTGGTAGAACAGGAGTTATAGACATCAGCCCTCTTGGACTCACCTCCAGTTATCCACTGGAGGTGAGTCCAAGATTGGCTGTCACTATTCCACAGAGATGTTCACTTGCCAGCCCCTTCTGCTGCCCCATCCTCCAGCCTTTCTCTGGAAGAAGTTAAGGCCCTGTGCATTCTGATGAAACCTTACTTCAGGCCCAAAGGGTTGCAACTCCACTGGAGACAGTAGCCTCTTCCAAGTGCTCAGGCTGCTGCTGTTTGAGGTTTGCCAGCTGGCACCAGGCTGGCTTTCTCCAAGTTTTTTGCCTGCTCCTCTCCTGTCTCCCACCTGTCTGGGCCTTGAGGACATGGTCATAGTCACAATAGGCCACCACTTCACTTAGGGCACCTCATTCATCCACAGGAAAGGATAAATCTCAGGGGCTGAGAAGTCAGGAGATCAAAAGTTGAACATTAACTCTGTCATGTCTCAGGGACACCTTGGGCAAGAAGTGGCCTCCATGCTCTGGTCATCAGCCTGGGCACCTGTGAGATGAGCCCTTTCCAGCCCTGTGACCTCCTGTGGTTCTGGGTTGCTAGAGTAAATCTGTGCTTGGGGAAAACACCTCAATGTTACCATAGGTCTGGGCCAAGCATAACTAAAATGGCACCATGCATTAAAAAGTCAAACCACCAGGAGCTTAGAGATATTAATAAGATTTTAATAAGTTTCCATGCTTTGTGTGCAAAGACGAGTCAACTGGTCAGTCAGCCAGAGGTGCCATTGGTTTCAAGATGAAACTTCTCCTGCAGCGGTCCTTGTAGCCAACAGCAAAATGCAATGTAAACTCTTCTGGTTCAAAGGATTCCGGGGCTCCCACAGCCCTCTCCTGATAAAGAAGCTATTCCCCGTGGAAAGCAAAGAGTGCAATTCAGAGGTAACCAAGAGCTAAAGTTTTATTAGAAAAATACAAAATTAAAGGAGAGGCCGAGTTCTGACTTTTCCCTGGAATCAAGAGTTCAGGGAACTCTTTCCTGGGCTGCCCTTTCCTTTGAAACTCCACAGAACAAGCTAAGATTCCATCAGAGAAAAATCAGACCTTCTGTCTGCTTTCTACTTTTATTCCAATATTCAATGCTCCCCAAAAGTACACAGGGTCTCAGAAGGCTGAAGAAGTCTATAATATCATCCTGTCAAAAACAACGAGGCTTGGGCTTCGGTGTCTTCCTTTCTCTCTGAGGCCACAAGCACTCCTCACCAAATCTCAAGTTTCCTCCACTTTGGACCACTGTCACCAACACCCACTCCCAGGCCGGCTCCTGCTCCCAACCCCAGTGCCTCCATCAGGCCCCTGCTTCAGTCTTTGGGATCTCAGGAAACACAGGTTGATGTCATTACTCACCTGAGCCAAGCATAGCGAGAAACGCGAATTAACCACATGATCAAGGAAATCACTTTGCAGTGCACATGGGCACAGGAAATATTCACACCACTGTCACTCTCGGGAATGTGGACATTAAGAGGAGACTGAATTGAGTGATCTGTTCACTGAAAATTAAAGCATCGAGGGCCTGCACTAAGTTCTGCTCTCTTTGGGTGGGGGGACCTGCAGTGGGCGAGGCTTAGTCCACAACTACCTCACACCACTTTCCTGCCCCCCTCACCAGACCCTTTATGCCCCCAGAAGTCCCTGCTTATTTCTGCTTTGTTCAAAAATAAAGGGGTCCCCCAACATGCTCACTCTTGTTCCCTTGGTGCTGTTGCACAATGGTGGCGAGAGGTGAGTAGCCAGGGAATGGAGCAGGGTGGAAGCTGCACTCAGAGGATGAGCTTTTGTATTAAAAATTGGAGAAAACACCAGAGGCACACATATGCGTATACACGTCTTCCAGGGGCACCATGAGAAAGAAGAGGCGCACCCTCCCCTATCCTCCCCAACAGCCCCTCCTGGGGCAGCAGGTGCCCAGTGGGACCCCCTCCCCTCCTCGCAGAAGGCCTGGAAGTCCTTTGAACCTGATTTTACCCCTTGGTGGGATCCAGACCATGATGTGCCCAGAATGCAGACCCTCTGGGTCCAGGAAGCAGAGGCTAGGGGGCCACTAAACTAAGAAAAATCTGGTCCTCTCAAGGTCCAAGAGGACCAATGTGGTCCTGGGGACACATTCTAGAGGCATCGGGAGGACTGCACTTCCAGGGAGAAGAACTCGAAGGTTTTTCTATGCCCCCCAGGCCCCTGCTGCAGCCTCTGGTCTGGGGACCACACTTGGAGAAGCTCTAAAACAGTCAGGAATGAGGGCAGGTGGGAGGACAATTACAGACATCAACTTGGTTACCGGGAGGAAGCCTTTAGCCTTCCACATTTAATCACACATGTTAAAAAAATCACCCAAATACAATAAAATTCCAAACCACCAACAATAAAAATCTCAGCCGATTAGCCTCCGCCAGTCCTTCCATCCTGACATATGAATAGTTGGGGGACACTCTAGGAACCTACAATCTCTCAGATCAAGTGAGGGGCCTCCCAGAGCCGCAGCTGAACTTGCCCCACAGGCCCCCTCAACCCTGAGGTGACATGCACAGCCCCTCATCAAGGGCAAAGCCCAGAGGCTGCCAGCACACTGCCATCCCTCCCCCTGGCTCCCTTCCCAGAGAGCCTGGCACACAGTCAGTACTTGGGAAATGGCTAACCTGAAGTTAGGTGGGCAAAAGAGACTTAGCATTTTACATAAAAAAAGCCTTTAAATCCCTTTCCAGGACCACAAGGGGGAAGGAATCAATGAAAGTGGCAATAATGCCAAATCTAGGGTTTGCACTCAGAGTAAATCACAACTTTGATAAGAAGGAAACTGGAGAGTCAGTCTGGGTTCCCAGTAAGGGGAAATTACTAAACTGACATTTGGGCCTGAAAGAGAAAAGCTTTCCTCCTCCTGGTCCCTACCCTTACCCCTATGAGACTTCATCCATCCAGAGTCCCAACCCCCAACCCCTACCCCTACTATGCAAACTGCACAGATCTTGCGCTGGAGCAGGCCCCTGCTACAGAGGGGGAGCACAGGGCACTGCTGCTGATGGCCATGCCCCCTGGGCCACAAGGGATGGTGGAACTGAGGTCCCCACAGACCACACCGCCCTGGGAACGGCTGACACCTGTGGATGGAGACACCGGGTCAGAATTCTCTCTTATCCCAGACATGATGTGACACAGAATTTTTTGGAGCCAATAACGTTAACTCTCCACTCTCCAAAGGACCAACAACATGAATTTTTTAAACCCACTGCTATTTGCTTCTTGAAGGAGTTTGGTGAGTAAACTGGACCCCTAACTCTGTCTGAACCAGACTAATGTTGAGATGCATTTTTTCCATCTTTGAGCAAAAACTGATGGATCACAGTGGAGGAATCATCTAGAAATATGGTTGTTGGAAAGATGAGGGGAACAGATAGACACCTAGCCTAGGTTCTGTGAACACAATGAATTATTAAACAGAAAGATTTGAGATTTGTCTGCAGTGGCCCCAAATGATCAGAATAGACATCTAGTGTTTCTTCTTATTAAAACATTGTACCACGTGAGGAGAATTCTGTGTGTAATTGAAGACTTAGGCTATTTTTGCAGAACCAATTGTGGGGCAGAACTTGTCACATTCATTAGCCTAGGCTTCTCAGATGTTCTAGATGGATCCATGTAGGGGTCAAATATTTTGGACTATCAATTTGTCCAGATCCCAGAGACCTCAGCTACTACCATCCTACCCAGTGTCCCACAGACAGAACTTCAGTCACTGTTTAGATGCAACCCAACATTAATACTATTGACACCCAAAAGAACCATTCCCACCCCCCCACACCCCAACTTACAGATATTGACTGAGCCCATGCCTTCACACAGCCTGTAGGGGAGAGGAGAGAGTGAGCATTAGAACCGAGCTCCCTGCCTTGCACCAGGCCTATTCTCCATCCTGAATCAGGGGAGAGGAGATGAGGGGCTGGGGGCATGCTGTCCACCCACGGCAGACAGCATCAGTGTTGGCACCGCCCCCTGGGATCCCTAAAAGAGAGGTCTGTAAAAGGTCAATGGCCACAATATGCAAAGCAGAATACACTAAACCACCTTTTAAAATCTCATGTATTGGGGATAGTGCATTATTCATTATATGACTGAGTTATTAATACACTAATGATTATTATCATAATGAAAGTTTCACTGTGCAAATGCTGAGTGCTTCACAGAATGCTGGTGATGGGTTGGATTAAAGGTGCAAAGGAGGAGATAGCTCTTGTGGCTTCACCCAAAGTCCTGAGGAGATGGACAGAAAAGTTTACCTGCTTCAGTCAAGCATGGTGCAAATCCAGCAGCATGGCCAACTGCCTTGGGTGCCACTCATGTCAGGTTTCTAACACTAGTCATGTTAATAAGGAGCCGCTGCATGAGAGCAGCCCCACCTGGCTACCCTGGATGGAGATATTCTTATTCTGATAATAACCAGATACTACGGGTGCTTACTATGTTCCATTAACTAATTTAATCTGTGCAACAGCCTTAAGTGGTGCATTTTATGGTTACCTGTTTTACAGAGGCGGGCACTGAGGCATTGGGCTTCATAGCTAGTAAGTGGTAGAGCTGGGGTTTGAACCCAGGAGATCTGGCTCACAGCCTGTGATCTTAACCTTGTATACTCTACTTCTCAGTGTAGCCTGCTCCCCCCAATAGGGTCCAGCTAGGAGGCAATAATGATGTGGTCACCTCAAGGCTATAGGCCCATGCACCACCACTCAAATGGCCTTTAACAAGTTTTCTGAATGGCTGCAGTTTTTACAACCCACTGAGATGTGATTGCAGAAATATCTTGAGTTTTAGGTAGAGCTGGGGGAAGGGGCAGTGTAGGAGGGGAAAAGGTCACAGGAGTGCTAAGCAGGAGGCTGGTATCATTTTAGCTTAGCCACTAACTAGCTGTAGTCTTGAACCAGACCATTCCCCATTCAGGGCCTCAGTTTTTCTATCTTAAAAATGGGGAGGTGGGCGGACCCCATGATCTCTAGAGTATTTCCCAGTTGAATGTTCTCTGCCTGGAGGATTGTAGTCCAGTGAGGCACTCTTCCAGCCCGAGCAGGGATGTGAAATGACCCGAGCCCCATCCTCACCGGCTCTCCTCGCCCTCCAGCAGTTTGCGGTAAGTGGCGATCTCCACGTCCAGGCCCAGCTTGGAGTTCATGAGCTCCTGGTACTCCTTGAGCAGGCAGGCCATGTCCTGCTTGGCCTTCTGCAGGGCCTCCTCCAGGCCGGCCAGCTTGCAGCGGGCGTCGCTGACGGCCGCCTCGCCCTGCTGCTCCGCCTGCGCCACGGCGGCCTCCAGCTTGCGGCGCTGGGAGGAGACAAGGGAAGGCGTTTGAGACGGGTGCAGGCTGGGGAGTCCTGGTGGGTCTCCCACACTTTGATCATCCTATTTTGCCTCCATTTTCAATGGTCAACTTCTAAATGAACTAGGCAGGGAAATGACAGCCATTTGGGGCTTTCTTTATTTTTGTACCGCTTTACTGTAAAACTCAAGTCCATGGTGAGCCATTAGTGGGAGGAAATGTTAGCAGTGAAACACGACTGATAATAATTGGTGATATTATCTTCTATTTGTTTACTATCATTAGTTTACAGGGCACTTTCACAGTTGTTACCTTATTTGACCTTCAATCTACTCCGTCAGCTCTCAGAATGAACCTGGTTATCCCATTATGCAAATGAGGAAACTGAGCTGGACCTGCCCTAAGCTACCCAATTAGTTAGTGCCAACTCCAGGTTTTCAAAGGCCACTGCACGGGGTCTTATTCTTTGAGATCAGCATGCTAACTACAATGCCCAGCACACTAACTACAGCTTCTAACAATGCCCAGCACACTAACTACAGCTTCTCTCTCAGCCCCACCTAAGAAAGCAGAAGGAACTCCTACAACTCAACACACAAAACAAAGACAAAAACCAAAAAAAATCTGATAACTCCCTAATAAAAATGGGTCATGGACTTGAATAGACATTTCTCCAAAGACATAACTGGCCTTCAGATATATCAAAAAATGCACAATAGCACTGATCATCATGGAAATGCAAATCAAAACTATAATGAGGACCACCTCACACCTGTCAGGATGGCTATTATTAAAAAAACAAGACAGATGTTAGTGAGGATGTGGAGAAATTGGAACCCCTTGCACACTGTTGGTGGGAATGCAAAATGGTACAGCTGCTATAAAAATAGTATGGAGGTTCCTCAAGAAATTAAAAATAGAACTACCATATGATCCAGCAATTCCACTTCTGGGTATTTACCAAAAATAATTAAAATTTAAATACCAATTAGATTCTGGTTTACACTAGATCCACAAGAATTCAAAAGTCTGACAATAGCGTGAGCTGGATCAGAAGCCCTCTTGTGCCAGCAGTGGGCGTGTACATCCGCATCGCACTCTGCAGGTACTTATGGAAAGTAAATAAGTGATCATCTTACAACTCAACAATTCCACTTCTTGCTTTATACCTTCAAACATTTCTCAAGTAGGTGCAAATGGAGATGTGTATAAAAAATGTTCATGATACAACTGGCTGAAGTAACAAAGACTTGGAGGCAAACTAAATATCATCAACAGGGAAATGAAGAGGAAACTATGGTTTATGAATATTGTAGAATTTCATACACCAAATATAATGAAGCAGATCATTTCTAGGAGTGTGCATGCATTTCAAAGGCATAGTGTCAACTGGCAAAAGGAAGAATTAAAATGAGATTTATGGCATAATGCCATTATGTAAGTTTAAAACACTAAAACATTTATGCAAATATATTTTAAAGTATATAGTGTATATATGTAAATAAATGTATAAAACAGGGACTATAAGGATATGCATTTAATAGATACACCAGTCCTCTGCCTAAAATGTTTTGTGCACTGTTGGTCCTTCAGAGGCAGGTGGTTAAAATTTAAGCCTCTCCAAAGATAGCAGGAGCTCCTCAAGGTAGAAGGAAAGCAGAAAGCGATCAGAAGCAGCAGGTGAGCCAAGTGGTTCTCAGTGTCCCCTCACCTGCTGCTTGGCATTCTCCACCTCCGCTGTCAGCCTCTGGATCATGCGGTTCAGGTCATTGAGCTCATCCTTGGTTCTTCGGAGGTTCTCGCCCTGCTGAGTCACTGTGGCCTTCATCTCCTCACACTGCAGATTGGGAGACAAACATGGGGAAACTACCAGTGATCACCAGGTGGCTGGAGGGTGTGCTGGGAGGTCACTGATCCCACCCAGCCCAGATCAGCCAGCCTACCGTTCTGCAATAGCCCACCTCCTTCCCCAGCTCTGAACCTGGAACCTCAGCTGCAGCCCTGCTGAATGCTTGGGTGCATTTCGCAGGGAAGCTCCAGGTTCATGGCTACCCTTCCTGCCCAGCAGGGCAGCCTAGTCCTCCAGTTACCTTGGTTTGGTACCAGGACTCAGCCTCGGCTCGGCTGCGGCTGGCCACATCGTCATACTGAGCCTTGATCTCGGCCACAACCGAGTCCATGTTGAGCTCCCGACTGTTGTCCATCTTGACCACCACCGAGGTATCAGAGATTTGTGACTGAAGGACGTAGATTTCCTATAGGAGACAACAGCCAGGGCCCTCAGCTCCAAACCCCCTTCTGATTCCTGCCTTCCAAGTAATCAAAAACAGTCCCAACTCTGAAACTTTTAGGAAATAAATTAGAAAACTACTGGCAAGTCAGGAAATTTTTACACATAGCTTTAAAAAGAAAAGGCTGGAGTTTGGACCATGGCCTCAAGGCAACGAGTAAGGGGGTTCCATTAATGCTGGGATCAACAGAGGCAGGTTTCTATGGTTAAGGACAAACTGGATTACTACACCCGATCCTAAACTCTCCAGATCAGCTGTAGCTATGGGTATAAATCCAGCCAACCAGATAATGGCCAGATTTAGAGTCCTGGGTTTTCTAATTGAGTTTTCACACTATAACTATTATTATATCTACAGACCTCTTTTATCAAATCTCTACTTCATGTTGTGTTGTGTAGACAGGCAATGAATTAATAGTCTTTCAAATCATTTTAAAGGAAGGCTATCATCCATTATCATTTTGAAAGGAGGCCTAGACAAGAGAAAATCTCCTTCAGTCACAAAAGGGAAGGAGGTTGAGATTCTAGATGAGTAAAGAATGGACAACTTTCCCCAGAACCAAGGAACCAGGACAGGCCACACCCCGGGAAAACCCTCCTCTGTCTCCTTTCTCAGCTGCTCTTTCAGAGACTGGGAGACTCACCTCCTCATAGAGGGCCTGCAGGAAGTGCATCTCCTCCTTCAGCGCCTCCACATTGGCCTCCAGGTCTGCCTTGCGCAGGTAGGCGCTGTCTATGTCCTGGTGGAGAAGACAGGAGAGGGTGGGACACAGGTCATTCAGTGTCCCTGGACACTACACGCTACAGTGGGCCCTGGCGCAACCTCCTGGCCCACCCCCTGGCCCTGCTCATCCAACCTGCAATTATAAGTCACCTTCAGAGCCCCGCTAGTAGGGACAGGGCCTTTGTTATCTGCCACTGCCATTACCTCCCCTCCTCCCCCGTCACAGAAACATCAGTGAGACCACAAGGGATAGAAAGTGAAGAGAAGTCTGACCTCCTACAGAATTTTTTTTATTTCCTCCAGAATTGGGGAATTTGATGAAGTAGATAGCCTAAGATCAAAACCCAAAACCCCTTTCCCAGCTGGCGTGGCTTAGCAGTTGAGCATCAACCTATGATCCAAGAGATCGCAGTTTGATTCCTTGTCAGGGCACGTGCCCTGGTTGCGGGGTCGATCCCCAGCAGGGGGCGTGCAGGAGGCAGCCGATCAATGACTCTCTCATCATTGATGTTTCTATCTCTCTCTCCTTCTCCCTTCCTCTCTCTGAAAAAAACAACAACAACAAGAAAACAAAACCAACCAACCAAACAAACAAAACCCTAGGCTGCTGTCACTAAGCTGAACTGGCCCATGGAGCATGGCCACGAGGTGGCCACAGAGCCATAGGTGCACCTCCCCAGTAGGTCATCCTTGGCTCCCAGGTCAGGCAACTTCCGACACCCAGGTAGCTGACCTTCCTGCCTGAGACCAAGGTCACACCTCTATTGGCAGATTTTGACCAGCCCTCTCTCCATTCTGTGATTACTCATAAATAAGATGGCTGGTAAGCATGTTATTTGTGAAACTGTGTAAGTATACACTTCAACTCATTGATGTGAAACCAAAGGGAAACCATTAGCCATTTTTCCTTCTGGCTTTTTCATCATCTGCAATTGCCACAGCTCACAAAAGCACTAGCAAGCTGAGAACCAACTGGGAGGCAATGTCCACATGAGAGTGAAATAGATTTCAAAGTGACCATTTCAGCTCATCAGGGAATTGACAAAAAGTCAAACAGCAATATAATGAGTTTTTCTTTTTAAGAAGCCTCGCCAGCACAGTCTGTGTTCCTGCGTAGGAGCCAAGAGGCTTCCGAAGCCAGACCAACCTCCATTTGTCAGGAGACCTGAGTGCCCTGCCACCCCAACAGGACTGGCATGACCTTGGCAAGACCCCCAGTCTCAGAAACATTCAGCACTCAAGAGCTCACTGCTTGCCATGTACAAAGTCACTCACCTTCTTCAGCACCACGAACTCGTTCTCAGCTGTGGCCCTGAGGACCACCTCTTCTTCATACCTGAGGGGAGAGGGCACAGGGCTGAGGCTGCAAGCTGCAGGCTGGCTAGTGACCCTAGGCTTTCAAGACTCCCTGGTTCTGCCCTTGACTTTTTGTGTTCCATGGGAGAAGAGGTTTGGTCTCCCTAAACTTCTATTTCCCAGCCACAAAGAACTCACCAAATGACACTGAACATGGAGTCTAAGTCTCTAGTTTCTGGTCCAAGTTTGGAAATGAAGTCCCTCCCTGCAAAACCTCAGGCAAGTCACTTACTCTCTCTACAACTTGGGTGAAATGGTCTGGTATGCAGTAAGGCACTCAGTAAGTTTGTGGGATGAATGAAAGATATTTGCTCCAAGGAGCCCTACAACCCCAAAATTGTACAAAACATAAAGTTCCAGGAAGCCATCCCCATGTCGTTCTTCCTCCCAGCATCCAAGGACTTGAGATACTGGAAGCAACCCACTCTGCCCAGGCTGCTGGGGGCACTTCCACAGCCCTCCTCCAGCAGTCTGTTGTTCTTTTACTCTTGTCCCTGAGGTCTCATCCCTGGAGCAGCCCTGCCCCAGTCGACAAGGGAGACCAGAGTTCCCAGAGCACGGTTTTCACAACTTTGTAATTACAGGGTAATTTGGGAAGCTGTAAATTCTGAGCTCTGTGATTACTGGCCCTCACACTCCAATGTGGGAGACAGACTGACACCTGCAAACAGAATTGTGTCTGCATTCACATCCCCCCTCCCCCTCCCACCAAGGGAAGTGAAGGCCCATTGCTGGATCCATCTGGATGGTAAAACCTGACCTTCCAAGGCCAGAATTCCAATTACTTCCAACTAGAACTACCAGACCTGATTATGAGAAAATCACCCTTTAGTCTTCCTGTGTTTACCAGATAAAGTGAGGCAAGTTAAGTGATCCAGTGAGTAAAACTAGATAGCGGCCAAGCTAAAGAAGTCAGGTTACAATAAAAGATTTACATGGACCCTTGAATTGTAGAGGCTTGCAGAACAAAAGCCTGATGATTTATCTGCAGCATAAGTAAAAGAAGTATTCATTTCATCGGATATCTGTAATGACGTCAGCCCTATCGTTTTCAAGAATTCTCTCCCAGGATCTTTCCTTTCTACCTGTCCTGGTGCTGACTGCTCCCACGTTCTGCTTTCCAGCCCTATTGATCTTGGTCCTCCTGTTTCATTTGTTTTGTCTCCATCTCTGGATCAGTCTGTGCTCTGGACATATGCCCCACCCCTCCCCGGGTGGGAGCACCCCTTCTTTCCAGATCATTGCCCAGTCCCCAGGATGAGCTGCAAGAGCCGGGATCCCAGACAAGACAGAGCAGACAGATAAAGTGAACCACCTGATTAGTAGCCTAGAATGACCCTGGCCTTCAACCATGTCTGCCTCCAGGAGAGACTCAGCCAAGACCTACCCCACTTCTATAACCACCCCCGGCCCTGTCATGCTCACCTCTTCTTGAAGCCCTCCAGCACCTCCTGCACGTGGTTGAGCTCTGAGGCCAGCCTCCCGCTGTCGGCCTCCACGCACTCTGCCTCCCGCCTCCTCGTCTCCTTGTAGCCACTGAACAGCGGCTCCAGGTTGCTCTCGCAGCACTTGCGGTCCTGGTAGAACTGCCACTTGGTCTCCAGCAGCTTGTTCTGCTGCTCCAAGAAGCGCACCTGCACCCAAGGATGGGAAAAGAGATTCCAGGGGGAGTCTAGGGGATGCAGAGAGGTTCCCCAGAACTCTCTCTGCCCTTCAGGATGGCCCCTGACCTGCAGCCATTTCACTTACCCAAAGACCAAATCATTTACAGTCTGAAAATATGGTTCACAGTTGTTCCCCAAGTAACTTCCCCTCACATCATCCGCATCTCCCACACAATTTATTTATGATTTGTTTATTCTGCACAGAACCAAATAACATCTAATCCTGAAAAAATACCAAAGACCATGTGTGGTAGGTCAAAAGTGGTCCCTGAAAGATGACCATGCCTTAATCCCTGGAGCCTGTGAATATGTTGCGTTACATGGCAAGAGGGGCCCTGCAGATGGAATTAAGGTGATGGACTGAAGATCAGGAGATTATCCTAAATTACCCAGGTGGGCCCCACAGCAATGGCAGTTCGAAGTGGGAGAGGAAGGCAGAAGAGTGAGAGAGCTGTCCAGAAGAAGGAGACAGAGGAGAGATTTCAAACATGAGAAGCGAGAAACACTCAACACTATCACCAGCTTTGAAGATGAGAAGGGGCTATGAGTCAAGGAATATGGGCAGCCTCCAGAAACTGAGTACACTGCCCCACCTCCCCACCCCACCCCCATCAATCAGCCAGCAAGGGAACCGGGACTTCAGTCCTATAATCTCATGGAACCCAGTTCTGCCAGAAACTTGAATGTCCCTGGAAGCGGGCACCCCCTGGGGCCTCCAGAAAAAAATGCAGCCCTCCTGGCAGCTGTTTTCAGCCTCCTGAGACAAATTTGGGGGGGGGTGTTAAAATATGTCTTTATTGATTTCAGAGAGAGAAAGGGAGAAGGAGAGAGAGAAAAAAAAAATCAGTGATGAGTCATTGATCGGCTGCCTCTTGCGCGCCCCCTACTGGGGATCGAGCCCACAACCAGAGCATGTGCCCTGATTGGGAATGGAACCGTGATCTCCTGGATCCTAGGTTGATGCTCAACCACTGAGCCACGCCTGGCCGGGCCAAATTTGTGTTGTTTTAAGCTGCTAAGTTTATGGGCAATTTTATGGCAGTGATTTAAAAATGCACCCGCTGCCCCTGCTGGCATGGCTAAGTTGTTAGAGCATCAGCCTACATACTGGAGGGTTTGGGGTTTGATTCCCAGTCAAGGGCACATACCTGGGTTGCAGGTTCAATCCCCGTCCCCCATCAGGGCACATGCAGGAGGCAACCAATTGATGTGTCTGTCTCACATTAATCTTTCTCTCTCTCCTCTCTTTCTCTCCCCCTCCCCCCTCCCTTCCACTCTCTCTAAAAATCAATGGAAAAATATCCTCGTGCCTCAGGCGAGCATTAAAAAAAAAAGCATGCACCCACCATGATTCTCCCTCACTCTGACTCTGGGGTGAAGGAGCCCAGGAGGGAGAACCCTGGACCAGAAGTTAGGAGATCTCTCACTGCCTAACTCAGCCCCCAACCGAGCCACACTGCGTCTCATTCTCCTTGACCCTCACTGTAAACTGAGGTAGTGGGAACACATCAGGAAATTACACTGGCAGCCCGCAGGCCCTATCTGGCCCACAGGCATGTTTTATTTGGCTGAACACTGTTTTACAAAAATCTGATTAGTTGCCAACATTTAATAATTGAGTGACTTCAGGCAAGAACCTGGATTCCCCTGACCTTGATGAACCAGATGCTCTGGTAATGCTGGGCCTGTGTCCGGAGGTGAGTGGCAGCAGCTGCGCCTGTAGGCGGCATGCCTCTCAGCTTGGCTTCATTCACCAGGCACCATGCAGCTGCCAGCCCTAAACTAGGATCTCCCCTCAAGCCCTAAACTTCCAGGAGGACAAGCTGGTATAAAGCAGCTCTCAGTGGCCCATGCTTATGGGCAAAGGCCTGCCTTGGGCCGAGGTGGGAGGGCAGCTCTCTGGCCTGCCTGCTCTGCAGGCATAAACTCACCACAGCGGTGCACTTTGCACGCCTGGAGCTCATCCTGAAGGTAGGATGCTGGAAGGAGGCGAGAAGCCGTGGGCAGCCCCAGGGGCCACCCACAGACCCACCTTGTCGATGAAGGCAGCAAACTTGTTGTTGAGATGCTTGATCTGCTCTTTCTCCTCCTGCTTCAAGCACTGCGCGTTGGGGTCTAGCTCCAGGTTGAGGGGCGCGAGCAGGCTCTCGTTGACTGTCACAGTGGTGATGCAGGGCGGGCTGGGCCCACAAAGGCCCCCTGCTCTGTAGCCGAAGTTTCCCCCACTGCGTAAGGGGCGCGCGCAACTCACTGCGATCCGAGGGGATCCCACTGCACACAGGCTCCGGCTGCCGAAGCCGCCGAGGCGCCTGTAGCCTGGCCCCCCGGGGCTGCCTCCACGGTAAGCCATGGCACTGGCACAACTGTGAGCCCCGGGCTTGGGCATGACGGCAGAGCAGGAGCTAAAATTCCTGGCCTGGTAGCCGGAGCTGATGCGGTAAGACCGGCTCGCCATGCCTCGCTCCGCAGGCAGTGCCACGGGAAGTGGAGGGAAGGGAAGGAGACCAGGCCTCACACGGAAGACCTGTTAGTGCTCCTGCCTTTTATAGGGCAGACAACAGGCCTCTGACAACATGAAAGGCAGGAGAAAGTTAATAATTCCATTTATGAACGTGGGAATCACCCCCAGGGGAAAAAGGAGAGGGAGAGCTGAAACTTGCCACCTTTAATAGCACATCAAGGAGACCCTGACTCCCAATAAACCTGTCCCTGGCCTGTTCAACCCACAGGCCTGGACATATCTATTCAGCCCTAATTCCCCTCCAGCCCTGTGAGGAGACCTCAGCTCATTATCTCATACAGGCAAGTGGAGGCCTGGGCCAGCACATTCTTGAGACTTGAAGGGTCCCATGTCCCACCAAGGTCCCACCGGCAGTACTTCCGGGCAGATCCCATGTCCCTTCTAAGGCTGCAAGGACGCCTGGTTCATCCTCCCAGGGTGAAAATGTATGGAGTGAGCCTCTAAAAGCCTTCCCCTGTTGTTCTGAACTACATTTCATCTTATAGTAGAGTCATTGCAGTTGGTTCTGCCCGCTGGATTCAGAAGTCAGGTCTTACCTACTTTTATATCCCTCATGGCAACCAACACAGAGTAGGTCCTCAGGAAGCACTGCTTGAATTGAATAGACTAGACACAGGAGGGAGAAGCCACTAGCTGGAGAGGTTCTTCATCTAGTCCACAAATACTGGCTGACCCTCCACCACGTGCCAGGAGCCTGGAGGAGGTGCCTTCATGCACCAGGAAGTGCTGAGGTCCCACCAGAACGAGAAGCTAATTTAGATGTTGAGGGTAATCAAGCTGGGTGAGCAGAGTTTGCCCTTGAGGAAGCTGGGTCTCATGGGGAGACCAGGCAGGGGCAGGAAAGATCCATGGCAAGAGAAGGAAAGATGACTCAGCAGGCAGGAGGAATGCTCTTGGTTTCTGAGGAGGCCACACATGGCGTAGAGGGTCACAAAGAAGGAGGAAGACCTAAGGCAGGTCTTAGAGGATGGTGAGATTTAGCAGAGAGACCCCAGGCAGGGGTGCCAGTTTGACAACCAGAGAAATTTCCCAGTTCTTGGGATCTCTTGCAAAGCCAAGGCCCTCCACCAGGGCTGCTCTTGTCACACCCAGAGGCCTCCTTGTCACACCCAGGAAGAGCAGGATGGAGATGCAACCCAATGGGGAAAGCACCTGCTATTTCATAGATGCATTGGCAGCCCCCACTATAATTATGCCAAAGCCCCCAGCTCCCCAGGCCTGAGAGAAGCTCTCATTGCAGAGAATCTCTGTGCACCAAGACAAAAACAAGAAAGAATCTTCCAGAATGCCCCCTCTACAGGAACAGGCTTGGGAAGTGAGCGTAAGAAAAGAGCCAAATGCAACAAGAGAGAATGGAGAATCTTTCTGGTCTCTCTGCCCCACCCCCCCATACATACACAATTATACATCACACATGCTCCATGGGGGGAGTGTAAGGATGGATCCAGAGGGAGCAAGTGCTGCCCCAGGAGCGTGAGCCGTTTATCGTTTCCAAGTGCCCTCTTCCCAGGTGTGACAATCAGGAGATCACCATCTCTCCAACCTCAGGGCCTGTCTGTACCCACATTTCTGACCATAATTCCCATCATTTCTATAAGGTTCTTTAAGTCCCTCTGAGATGAGATGTTACCTGAGCCCAATGCCTTCAGAGCATTGAAGAGATGCGACCTCACTATCATGGCCCTGACCTCCAGCTCTCATCTTACGACTGTCTCCTGCTTTTCCAAGTAGATTATTGGATTTCTTACTGACATCACCAACATTATGAGGGTGTCTCCCCAAAATAAAAATCCAGAAGGGAAGATCTCAGTGTGAATCTCCTTCTGTGCTCTGCTTCTGAAGGGAAGTTGGCAGTTCCTGGCCAGATTCCTCAGCTGGAAAACCACCAGGGCTGGAGTGCAGGAAGCCCTGTCAACAGACAGTGAGCTGCCAGTGAGCCCTGTTCATACCCAGCAGGGCCTCCTGCCCAGCATTCCTCTTTGGCCACAAGCCTTTCCTGAGCACCTGAATGTGTCTGGCAAGGCCATTATGGCCACACAAGCTGGTGGTCTGAGGCTTAGAGCAGCGTGGTGGCCACTGAATACTCACTCTCCCTCCTCGTCCATGAGTTCTTAGCCTGGCCTCATCCACTATCCATTCAATCAACAATTACGTATCAGGCGTCTGAGTGAGATGCCTTGCACTAGATACTGGAGACACCAAGATGGGCAAGAACCTGTCCTCAAGTGGCTCACAGCCTGCTAGTCACAGTGGAAAAATCGAACACTTACAGCAGCAATATTCAATGGGTGCTCCGTAAGAATTTTTAAAACATGCAGTACCTGAATATTTAGTCAGGGGCACTGACCTCTTTTCCCTTAGATTGTCAAATTAACAACAGTCAACACAACAATAGCCCTCCAGTGTGAATGCCCTGTCTCGAGCCATAAATATATACGTCATACAACAGAGTTGCATTTTATTGGTCATGCCACATAATAAGGTTGTGTCTCATTGGTTAAATCTTGGTACCAGAAATCCTTATATACAAGTATAGGCACCTGATTTTTTTTAAAGTCACTTTGAAGCAAAAGGGTAGGTAATTACTGTCATTATTTCTTTTGTAAATCAATCAAAATTATGCCTATTTTTTGTCAGATCAGCCAAAACTTATATATTTTTTGGTGTGCCACAGAATTTTAGTAATTTATGTGTGCCATGATATGAAGAAGGTTGAAAATCACTGGTCTACAGTGTGATAATAGACATATGCAAAAATACCTGACTAGAGTTAAAAGGCAATGGGCCCTGAGTCCAGTCTCAAGTTCCCAAACCCAGGGGGTAGAGTGAGTAAAAGTATAGAGGCCTGAGCAAGGATGCCCCATTCAGGGTCAGAGCAGCTCACTGAGCATGGGTGGAGCACAGGGTGTTTTCTGAAAAGCGATCAGAAATGAAGTTGGAAACATATGCAGGGCCAAGGCATGAGGACTAGTGTGTCCCTTCCAGGAGTATAGACTTGGTCCCATCAGCAGTGGAGAGTTTTCCTCTAATAGTGACACACAAAGTCAGGTGGATTGGGATGGATGGTGATGAATGAATAGATGGATGAGTGGGAGGAAAGAGACTGGATGTATGATCAGATCAACTAAGTAGTGGGATGAAGAACAGACTGTGGGAACATAATAAAAGGCAGAAAATCCAGTTAGCAAACTATCACATGAAATGTGAAATAACATGGGCCTGAGCTAAGAGAGTGTTAGAGAAATGGAGAAGAAATGGAAACAACCATGAGGTATTAGAAGGGCTTGTCAATTTTTTGGATGTGGGGGGAGATGAAAGGAGTCAAGATGATGATTCTCAGGTTGATGGCTAGTCCCCCCAAATTCTAAGAGAGCTACACATTGGGACCTGGCTACTGCCTCTCATGGTCACAGGCCCCAAATCTGCTCTGCGAGAAAGCTGAGCTGGCAGGTTCACAGTCTGGCAAGTGCCCAGCAGCACAGGGGTCAAGATATGGCCAAATGTTGCAAGGCAACACCAGTGTTGGGGGACTTCATGGGAATCAAGCCTTGAATGTCAAGCTTGTGGGGCCACACCCAACTTTGGAGGGAGCATGGACCTGCCACCCCCACCAGGTGCCACGTAGGCAGAGCCCTGTTTCACAGTGCCTCCCCTGATGCAACAAGGTTTGGAAAATCTCAAAGAAGGAGCTGGGAGTGTGTGATGAAAGACCCCACCCCACTGACCTGAGCCATCAGAACCAGAAACAGGCTAGCCAGCCACAGAGAGGTGGCTTAAGGGTGGGGAAAGAGAAGAGGTGTGAGCGGAGCTTAAAACTGAAATTTTACAATGAGGTTAGAACTTCTTAAATTCTGGAATGATCAAGAGTGGTTGTAAATTATGGAATCCAGTTTATTAACTTGGCTATGTAATAAACCAACCCGAAACTTAGCAGCTTTAAAAACCATCATTTGTTTCACTCATGAATCTATAGTCTGAGCCGTGCTCAGCAGTGACAGCTCATTTTTCTATCTCAAGGAGCTTCTGCTCTCTTAGGCAGCACAGGGTCCAGAGCTGTGGCCACCCTTGCCCTCTGCTGCTCAGACCACACAGGAGGAAGAATGACCGGTCTGAGCCTCGTAACTGCTTCCGGAGGGACACTGCTGGCCAAGAGAGCACCCAGCAGGCATCAAGTGCACCAGGGGCCCTGAGACCCAGCCCTGTAAGGAGTCCTGAAGAAGAGGAGGTTTGGTGACTATCTTGGGTGGGAGGAGATGTGTGAGGCAGCTGTACCCACAGGTGTTAAATGAGGCTGCTGGGGGGACAGGACTGATGTTGTGGGGTGCTCAAAGAGGTGGAGAACAACCAGTGGGCTGAAGTTACAGGGGACTCAGCTTTGGGCCTCTAGTTAAGGTGTACTTCTAGGGCTGTCAACCTGGTCCATGAGACAGGGAGGCAGCTAGCTGCCTGGAAGGGATGCTGTGGGACAGTGTCCTCCAGAGTTCCCCAACTCAAGCAGCTCAGAAGGCTTGCCAGAGAAGGAGGAATTTCAGGAGACAAACAGGAAGAAAACTTGGCCCCAAACACTTATAATTACCCCTTTCCTGTCTTCTTCCAGGAGTTTATCCAGTTGCATCACACCCACATGACCTGCAACCCATTTCATAGACCAAAACCCTAAGCCCTATAGCACAGAGAAGCCCAAGGGGCTGAGTCACAGCTCTCCTACAGAGGTGCCTTAGAAAAGACTCTCCTGGACTGCCACACTGCTCCCACTAGAGGGAACCCTAGCCTGGCTGCAGAAGGCACCTAATGCTGTCATGGACGAAAGCCCTCTTCCTCCAGGAAGCCTTCCCAAGTTGGTAGACACAAAGTGTGGCTTTCCTGGCTCTTGTCAGCCTGGACTTTTTTATTCTCCCAGTGGCTTCCCTCCAAGTTCTCAGCACCCCATGGTATATCCTCTCTCAGGAAGCTTCAGCTGCCACCCCCACACTCATT